GGGACACAGGGGGGGGGTGAGGAGCCGCTGGAGCTGCGCGGGGACGGTGCAAGGCTGGCGAGTGCCGCGGAGCCAGCTCGGTGCTTCCCGCTCGCCCAGGAGCACAGCGAGACCCGGGCACCCCACGGGGCAGCGATGCGGCTCACGGGCTGACACCATCCCCGGCTGCCGGGTGCTAGGCACGGCGCAGGGCACCGCATCCCCAGCCCCTCACCGCTGGCTACTGCCTGGGACAGCTAACGGGCCCTCCCTGCCCAGCCGGGGCCGCAGGGCTCGGCGCAGCCCTCGCACAGATCCTGTCCCCGCTGCGAGGGCACCAAGCAGGCACAGCCGCCAGCCCTGGCACAGCCCAGGACAGCGCCACCTCTGCGACAAGGACAGCACAAGCAAGAGCACAGAGAGCTGGGCCGGCCTGTGCGCCTACCATGCAGGTCACCCAGCTCCCAGCGGGCGGGACCGAGAGCTTCCTTGCAGCCCCGGCACTTCCCACCGGGATAAAGCTCCTGGCACCTCACTGCAGCCAGGGCCATCTGGAAAGACACTCTCCCTTTATCCCAAACTGGCAGGGGATGGGGCAGGGGACCCCCAGGGACCCCAGCCCCACGCCTGCCCCCTCCCAGTGCCCCCAGCCCCAGTGACACTCACGGAAGCGCACGCGGATGGGCCAGATCATGATGCAGCACAGCGCCAGCGTGGCCGCCACACCAATGCCGCCAGTCACCACCACCATCACCCAGTGGTAGAAGCCAACACAGGCAGGACAGCAGAGCTCAGTCCTGCAGGGAGAGGAGCGCAGCGGCCGTGACCCCCTCACACGGCCTGCCCGCTGTCCCAAACGGTTCTGCGGTGCAGACAAGGGCTAGTTCACACCTGGACACGGGGGCCAGGTCCAGAGCAAGGAGCGGGGCAGCACCCTAGGCATCCTGACCCCCCATCTCCTAGCTTTTGGGGCCAAAATAGAAGTCAAGGAGGAGCTGAGAAAAATTAGAGCTGGCTTTTGCTGGTGCTTCTCGCTACGGGTGTAAGTGCATGCTCCAAACAAGGAACATGAACTCATGCTCTCGAGCAGACCTGGCTGAAGATGTCGCCAGGAAGGTTCCCGCTCTGCGGGGACACTTACGGGCAGGGATGCATGTTCTGGATCACCATGACAGCCAGCCCGTTGGCCATCTTGTCCGTGAAGCTCATTGCTCCGTAGACGAACGCGCTGCTGTGCTGCAAGGGGAGGGACAGCACCTGTGCCACGCGCTCCGGAGCGCGCGGAGAGCAAGAGCCTTGTGCCCTCTCATGGGCAGAGCCCACATTGCAGCAGAGCCCACGAGCAGCAGGGCTTTGGCACCCGGGACTGGATCCCAAGGCGCATCTCCACAGACGTGCCACCCGCCTCGGGACGACGTACCGTGTTGCTCCCGATGAGATCGGCTGTCATGGAGAGGGACGTCACCAGGATGGTGGCCGAGCCGGCGCCGAGCAGCAGAGCTGCCGCATAGATCTCCACTCCCATCCGCCTGGTCAGGGCCACCCAGGAGGCAAAGGCCAAGATCACCAGGATGCCCACGAAGTAGGTGAGCTGCTCCGTGGTGGCGCAGGGAGAGGGCAGAGCTCAGGGCGGGCTGCTCGCGCTCCACGCGCAGCCACACGCGGTGAGGCCGCGCTGGGGCCAGCCCCAGCCCCAGCACTCACATTCCGGCCTATCCACTTATTCACGGGCTTCATGAGGAAGGAGGACATGAGTCCACTGATGTACATCATCAGCGGGATGGTGGCAATGTATTTCTGGGAGAGGTGAGGACACAGAGATCAGCTCTAGGCCACCAGCACGAGCCCCGTGCCCAAGCAACTTTGGCATGCGGGTGGGAACGTGCCCTGCGCCCACCTTGGGCAGCAGCAGCGAGTTGGTCAGGTACATGGCGATGTAGGTCTGGGACAGGTTGACGATGAGGCGGGTGGCCATGTAGAGCACTGCCACCTGCAGAGGGACAGCACAGATGTCCCCGGGCCGGAGGAGGGCCCAGCCCCGGCCCCCGGGCCGGGCGGCGCCCCCAGATGGGCGCTGCCGTCCCTGCGCACCTGGTAGAAGGAGGGCTCCCGCAGCCAGTTCCTCCAGCGCAGCAGGGGCCGCGCGGCGCTCGCGGGCTCCTTGCGCAGCAGCGGGCTGCTCTCGTCCACCTGGGGCAGCCCGTCCAGCACGCGCGGCTTCTCCTTGGTGCCCACGTGGAAGATGAGGGAGAACAAGGCGCCCAGGCCCACCACGACGAGCGACAGGTTCTGATGAGGACAGCAGCTGAGCAGAGCAAAGGGTGCCCCTTCCTCTGCACCACCCGCCCCATCCAGAAGATCAGGGGAGGAAAAACAGGTCCCTAAAGCCCTGGGGGAGGCTGATGCTGCCCCTGTCCAACGCGGCCGGGAGGATCTCGGAGCACCCACTACGACGCCCTGAATTCAGCCCCGTCCTGCTCAGGGAAGGGCCCTGCCACTCACCCGGAATACAGGGACATCCTGCATGCCCAGGTGCTCCATGCTCTCGGGCTGCTCCACCTGCAGGTCCAGCATCAGCCAGGCCAGGCCCTTGACGGGTCACTTGGCCATGAGCGTGTAA